TGGTTGGGGCCGTGGAGAAAGTGAGGAGGGTGGAACCGTGGTGGGAACAGTGGTGGGGACAGTGGGGACAGTGCGACAGTGGTGGGGGCACTGGTGGGGACAGTAGGGACGGTGGTGGAACCACTGGGGACAGCGGTGGTGAGGACAGTGGTGCTGGGAACAACAGTGGTGGATGTGGTGCGGACGGCGGTAGGGACCGGGAGTCGTTTGCTGGCGGTGAGGGGGGGGAGGGACCCTCCTCCGGTTTCGAGGGGGGGGGGGGGGTTCAGCGTAGTGACCCCCCTGGTTTTTCCAGATCCGGGGGGAGGGGGTGGGGGAGGGGTCGAACTGGTAGTGACCCCCACGGTTTCGAGGGGGAGGGGGGGGGGCGGGGGTTAGGGGAGGGGGGGGTTTTGCCGGGGGAGGGGGGGGGGAGGGGGGGGGGGGTGGTGGGGTCCAGCAGGATGTGTTTGGGGGGGGGATGGGACCCATTTCGGGAGGGGACGAGGGATTGGATTTAGGGATGGAGGAGGGATGGAATTTGGGAAGGGGAGGATGGGGGGGATGGGGATGGATTTGGGATGGGGTAGGATTATTTTTGGGCGGGGGGGAGGGGATTGGGATGCTGGGATGGTTCGGGGAATTGGGGGGATGACGGGGATGGGAGGGAGGAGGAGGATTGGTCGGCGATGGGGGGGAGGGGAAGGGATTGGGGTGGGGGATTTCGGAGGGGGGGGGGGGGCAGGAGACCCCCGGGTTCGGGAGAAAAAGGCTGGCAATTTTCCACAGTAAAGCGGCGGTGGATCACGCTCTCTCCTGTATAGTCATCGCAGTCTTGATTACGCGCTGGAAGGATGTAAGGTAGTACCTTTTCAAAACGGTGCTCTCGCCTGAATGGTTGCCCCATATTGTGATGGTATTTCAAGGGGGCGCTTCTTGTAGTGAAAAGGGAGGCTTGCAGGGACTTATGCGGATGGACTTGGAACGGGAAGGTGTATTGCAGCATTGCCAATGCATCTCGGGTTTACCTTGGCCACACCTATCTCCTCCCTGACTTCCTCTTTCCCATTCCCTGTCCTCCCTTCTCCCTCTTCCCCCGCCCCCTCCACGGGGACCACTACCTGGGCCGAGGCAGACCAATTACCGAGCTGAAATGTGGGCACTTCTGAGCGTACGCCAGAATTCTCGAGGACCATTGGTATTTGGACCGGCTCAGCTGTACTACGCCGCGGGTGGAAGAGATGCCAAGACATTCAACGGAGGCAATGGAGACATATGGAAATCGATGAACGAGGCCATCACACAACGAGGTGACAGCGCCAGCAGCATCACGATACGACATATGCAGAGCCACTTGGAATGGGAGGACGCAAGACAACGTTAAGTACCTGAGTGGGCATTGATCGGGAACAGAGAAGCATACCTACGAGCGGATCGAGCCGCCGACGAGCACGCACTACCAGCAGCACAGCTCGGATGCTATGAATGGGTACGGGCAGTGGACAACTTGGTACTTCGTACGACTGGTACGACAGCGCATTACACGAGCCACGGTGGACAGCAGGTAACGGAAACCGCAAATGACTTGGGAGGAACGCGCCAAGATTCGACGGGAAGCAGCACAGCAACGACCGCCGACCCAGATTCCAGACCAGCTTGCAGCAACCAGCCGCCACCAACTCCGACAAACCACCACGGGGTGGGAATGTACAGCATGATCACAGACGGCTATCAGACGGAGAAACACAATGGCCCGATGGTGGCTGCAAGCAAGCTGCAGCGGGACGCCCATCGCAGACCCAACGCAGAGCACCAGCTGCTCACGCTGAAAGGCCGATGCGCGCACTTCTCCCACCAAATGCAGTGGCATCGACGCGAGCAAGGCTACTTCTGCCACAAGTGCGGCAGCATCGCCAAGCAGTACATCAGCGACAAGCTTTCGCAACAGTGTCAACCTCCACCACCCAAGGCAAGAGCCGACTACGTGGTGAGGGCCAGGAGGAAGCACGCTTGACGGAGCGGACCAGCCCTACGCCCTGCAGCTCCAGTTGCGGAGACGACAACAGCACGGCTAAGCTCTGCTCGTTGTCATGAGAGCGTGCTTGGCGCGGGACGTGTCGTTGCTAAGAGGTGGTTTTCAGACTGTCATGATATCACCTGCTTTCCGACCCACCAGACCGACTAAGCAGCAACAGACAAGCTGAAGGCCGACCGACTGAGCATTAGCAGGCCGACTGTGCAGACCGACCGAGACGAAGGCGAATACCTAACAGAGGGCCAGATCTACGAACAACCACCAAGACAGAGAACCAGCAGACCGACAAGCCCATGCAGCCTGCATGGCAGCAGAAGTAACCGCCAGGCTAGTGGTGTGGCTCCCGAAGGGTACTCCACTAGTCTGGCACAAAGAGAAGACGAACTGGAAGTCCCTGGACGACGACTCGGGGGCCACGTCCAGGGAGAGAAACGGGACCGCTATGGAGGCCGGCGACGAGGCCTAAAATGAGGCCTGCACCCACCGCCAGCAGGCCCGCAGGAGAGGAGTGGGATGTCGTCCTCGGGGATAGCCGTGGAAAGTCCACCCTCCTCCCTCGTTCCTCCATCCTCTCCCCGCTCGGATGAAACTCCTGGGAGGTCACATTCTGATTCCGCCCTGGTCTGAAATCCGGCTTAATCTGGTTCAATCCCGTGCATTCCCGCTTAATCCGGCTTAATCCCGCCCAATCCGGTTTAATCCCACTTAATGCGAGACCCGATTTGGCGTAACAGCGCCCCATTGACCTCCCAGTAGTTGCCTCCTAACCCCCTCCATCTAGCCCCCTCCACCCTCCCTCATCCCGCGCGCCCCTCCTGCCCGAGAGACGTTTAAGGACTACATCCACCGCGTGGGCCGCACGGGCCGCGCGGGGGCCACGGGCTCCTCGTACACGTTCTTCACGTCGGACAAGGCGCGCATGGCCCCGGACCTGATCAAGGCGCGCCGCCAGCGGCCGGCGAGGTCAGGGCGTGGCCAGGATGCGCCCAAGAGGGAGGGAGGGGGAGGGGGCGGGGGAGGAGGGGGGGGACGAGGAGGAGGAGGAGGAGGAGGAGCAGGAGGAGGAGGAGGAGGAGGAAGAGGAGGAGGAAGAGGGGATGAGCGACGAGGAGGAGGAGGAGGAGGAGGAGGAGGAGGAGGAGGAGGAGGGGATGAGCGAGGAGGAGAAGGAGTCCCAGCGCTGAGGGCGAGAGGTGGCCCTCCCCCTCCCCCAGATTTTCCGCGGCGGCATCTTCTGTGTCCTCGCCGCCCCCCTTGCCCGAAGATGGAAGGACGGGGTCGGGGGCTCTATGGCTGCAGGCCGCGGCGGAGGCGACGGCCTGGGCGAACGCCCCAGTCGCAATCGAGAACGCCAGCAAGGTCGGGGCCGCAGCGTCCAGGCCGAGGAGGAGCAAGCCTCGCCCGGCACGGAGGATGCCGTGCTGGAGCAGGCCGCCACTGCGCTGCCCGCACCTCTCGAGGTCGCCCGTGCCACGAGAGAGCGTGCATCAAAGAAGCCTCGCCGCTGCGCCAGACCGCCGCCGCAACCCAGGGCGCGCCGCAGCTCACACAGAAAATCTTCGCTACCGAGGCCCCCCCCCACCGGGAGAAGTCCAGCCCAATGTTAGACGCTTCGCGTCTCCCCACCAGCATTTGGCAGCCACCGCTACCCTTGCAAGGGCGCTGTGTGGGCGCTCTCGGCTACTGGCCTAGGCATCCACTTTCAGCACAGCTTGCAGCTCACGCGAGGCGCCGCTTAGTCCGCTTAGGCAGTTTAGGTTGTCGGCTCTCGTTTGCTGTTGTCAATGTGTAGGCCCGCGCCCCGGACTTACGACACGCCGTGTGCGCTTTCGCCCGCGGCCGCGACAAAAAAAGTATCCCCACCAGCCCATCCAGAAACGATGTCCAAGCGAGTTGAGGTGATCAGGGAAGTGCGGGAGAAAAGATGGGGTCGACTGAGCCGTGCGAAGGAGGAGGAGGAGGAGGAGGAGGAGGAGGAGGAGGAGAGGTAAGGCGGAGGAGAAGAAGAAAGAGGCTGGATGGGTGGATGAGGGAGTGGGAAGAAACGAAGGTTAATAGGAGGAGGAGGAGGAGGAGGTGGAGGAGGAGGAGGAGGAGGAAGAGGAAGAGGAAGAGGAAGGATGAGCAGGAAGAGGAGGATGAGGGCAATCAAAAGGGCCAGAGGTCTCTTGAATGCCTCTCGGAGCCTCTTGGGATATCTCTTGGGCGTTTCTTGGTGGCCTCTTCGGATGTCTTGGGGGGTTTCCTGCCGATCCCAGGGTGCTCTTGGGCGTCTTGGGTGTTTTGGGGGGGCCTCTTGGGGCCGCTTGGGGTCTTTTTGTGGGCCTCCTGGGGGCGTCTTGGGGGCCTCTTGGGGCCATCTTGGGGCCATCTTGGGGCCTCTTGGGGCCTCCTGGGCGCTTCTTGGGGCCATCTTGGAGGACATCCATCAAGAAAGGGGACGGTCGCAATTCGCATTGCCCCCCAAGAGGCCAACATGGGGCCAAAACCCTGGTAAACAAATGATGTTGACTTCCTCGTCGAGGCCGTTTTGGATGCCCTGACCTCGGCGCCCGCCCCGTCCAGGTCCCTGGGAGGGGGGGAGGGGGGAGGGGAGGGGTAAACCCCTCCCCGAAGGGGAAGAATGGAGTTGGAAGAGGAAATTCCTTAAACCAACCACGCCCAGCGGGCTGGTGGGATTTCGGCCGCCGTGGATCGACCGCCGTGGATCAGCCGGGGCCGCCGCCGACGACACCGAGCCCCCCCTGGTAGAGGCTCGGCAGGCTGCCGATGCAGCCCAGACCGCTCCGCCGCCGCCATCGGCGCAAAGAGGGCGGCCGCCCGGCGCGTCTCCGCGCGGCGCGTCTGCCGCGCCGGCCGCGCCTCGGCAGGCACGGGGGCCAAATG